CAAACAACTATTTGATAATAAATGGCTTCACATGATCATCATCCTTCAATAAAAGAGCATTTTTTGATCAGTCATATTTTCAGTATCAATGCCAAAATCTCACAATTTCTGCCAGGGTATGCAAACTTTTGAGCACAGCACTCATGCGCCATCTAGTGGTATAAACAGATTACCACCACCAGAAGGATGATAATTAAATAAATAAATAAATAAAAATTCGATTCACAGGTCTGCAAAAAAATTTTTTTCAAGAGCTGTTTTGGTTATTCCACATAATCTTTATATTTTTTGGTGCGCTGAATCCAAAAATGACCTCCATTTTTTCATAGGACATCACGTTTCCTGACAATTTAGGTAACTATGTTAAATAAGGCAATACCTCAAAATAAATGGAAACAGACTTATAAAATTAAAGTTTTATTACAATTTTTTCATGAAAATCCTTTTTTGAACTGAAATGAGCTCACCTACACACACTAAACTCGATTCTTCTTCCCTGTGAAGCTCCTCTTGGTGCATTTATGCTTGTGAGTAGCATCTGGAACAGGGGCGGACTGACAACTCATGGGGCCCCCGGGCAATAGGGGATCATGGGGCCCCTGTGTCCTTGCTCAAACTCAAAAAAGCCTATGAAAAAGGTACCAGGGGCATCTCATGGGGCCCCCTACTGACCCCGGGCCCTCGGGCAGTGCCCGAATTTCCAAATGGTCAGTCCGCCCTTGATCTAGAATGTCTCTCTGAAGCATCCAACAGTAGTCTGCCATCATTGTAATGCTCCATTTTCCCTGGTATCTCCTTTCCATCTCTTTAATGTCTTGGTGGAATCGTTCACCTTGTTCCTCACTCACAGCTCCCAAATTTTCAGGAAAGTAGTCAAGGTGGGACTGGAGGAAATGCACTTTCAAACTCATCAGGCAACCTAAAGCTTGAAATGCTTTCAGCATTCTTCTGATGATCTTTTTGTAGTGAGGATCTTTGTTATTGCCTAAAAATTTCTGTACGACTTCTTTAAATGCAATCCACCCTTCTTTTTGAGGATCCGTCATGGTATTGACAAACTCTTGATCAACTATAAGCCTTCTAATGTCTGGTCCGAGGAACACACCTTCCTTCAATTTTGCCTCCGACAGGCTGGAAACTTGGTGACCAAGTATTTGAAGCATTCTCCATCTCTTGGAACTGATTTTACGAATTGCTTCATCAATCCCAATTTTATGTGGAGAGGTGGTAGAAGAACTTTATGGGAAGGTACCAAAGTTTCTCGGAGGACATTTTTTTCACCGAATGTTAGCACCCTTAGCTGCCAACTCTCCTTTGTCCAGTGATTTTGTCTTTCTCGACTGTCCCATAGACACAGAAAACAAGGGTATTTGGTATGCCAACCACTGGATTCTTCAGGAAAGATTAACCCCTTCTACCATTAGAAGCACAGACTCAGGACTGAGGCTTACACATAGAGCATGCTGCCGAGTATCCCAGTAGTCAGACATGTCACTCAGAGTAGCACTTGTATTCACCCCCTTCGCGGGGGGGGGGGGGGGGGGGCAGAGATTGTTTACCTGCATATAACAACAAAGGGCCAGAAGAGAACTAGGGAAATGAGGAAATATTATTTTTTTTTTTCCCTAAAACTTGCTTATCTTATGTATATATTACTGACCATCAGATTTACAGTGCTATATTTTTTTTTACATAACTCGGACAACCCCTTTAAGTTTTTTTGGCATTTTATATCTTAAATGCACTTATGTGAATTAATCAATAGTAAGTTGGACTTTAGATTTGGTTAAAAACCCATAATTTAAAAAAAATACCAAAAATTAAAAAAAAAATTATAAATTTGAAGACAATTTTGCATTTTGTGGCATATCATGACGTCTAGGAGTTTTTTCAATATTTTATTTGTTTTCAGCACACCAAAATACATGGAAATTAGATGAAAATTAGATGAAAATATTCAAACAGCTTTTTAGGCGCAGGCCTGTGAAAAGCCTTCTGTTACCCTAAAAGAATTTTATATATATATATATATATATATATATATATATATATATATATATATATATATAGGGGGGCTTAATAAATAATCTCTACAATTATAAAATAATTATATCTCAAATATAATATAAAGTACTAGGGGATCTATATATGTATATATATAAAATTATTTTAGGGTAATAGAAGGCTTTTATAATCGAAATTTAATTTTATTTAATTATCATCCATCTGGTGGTGGCAATCTGTTTCTACCACTAGATGGCACATGAGAATGGTATTGAGATGTATTGCAGCTTTTAATAATTGATTTTGTATATACATTTGCAAGAAAAAGTATTTGAACCCCTTGGGATTACGTGTAGTTTTGCATGAATTGGGCATAAAATGTGCTCTGAACGTCATCTAAGTCACAACAATAGAAGAACACAGTCTGCTGAACATAATACTACACAAACATTAGATGTTGCCATGGTTAATTGCACATAACATGTAAACATTCACAGTGCAGGGAGGAAAAAGTATGTGAACCTTTGGACTTAATAACTGGTTGACCCTCCTTTGGCAGCAATAACCTCAACCAAACGTTTCCTGTAGTTGCAGATCAGACCTGCACAACGATCTGGAGTAATTTTGGACCACTCCTCTTCACAAAACTGTTTCAGTGTAGCAATATTCTTGGGATGTCTGGTGTGAGTCGCTCTCTTAAGGTCATGCCACAGCATTTCAATCGGGTCGAGGTCAGGACTCTGACTGGGCCAATCCAGAAGGCGTATTCTGTGCTGTTGCAGCCATTGTTTTGTTGAATTACTTGTATGCTTTGGGTCATTGTCCTGTTGCATCACCCATCCTCTGCGGAGCTTCAGTTGGCGGACAGATGGTCGTACGTTTTCCTGCAAAATGTTTTGATAAACTCTGGAATTCATTTTCCCATCAATTACAACAATCCGTCCAGGCCCTGAGGCAGCAAAGCAGCCCCAAACCATGATGCTCCCTCCGCCATGTTTTACAGTGGGGATGAGGTTTTGATGTTGGTGTGCTGGGCCTTTTTTGCTCCACACATAGTGTTGTGTGTTCTTCCCAAACAACTCAATCTTGGTTTCATCTGTCCACAGTATATTTTGCCAGTAGTGCTGTGGAACATCCAGGTGCTCTTTTGCAAACTTCAAACGTGCTGCAAGATTCTTTTTGGACAGCAATGGCTTCCTCCGTGGTGTCCTCCCATGTACTCCATTCTTGTTTAATGTTTTCCTTATTGTAGATGTGTCATCAAAAATGTTAGCATGTGCCAGAGATTTCTGTAGGTCTTTAGCTGACACTCTGGGATTCTTCTTTACCTCATGCAGCATTCTGCGCTGTGCTCTTGCAGTCATTTTTACAGGATGACCACACCTAGGGAGAGTAGCAACAGTGCTAAACTTTCTCCATTTGTAGACAGTCTGTCTTACCATGGACACATGAACATCAAGGTTTTTGGAGATGCTTTTGTAACCCTTTCCAGCTTCATGCAAGTCAACAATTCTTGATCGTAGGTCTTCTGAGAGCTCTTTTTCTGCGAGGCATGGTTCACATCAGACAGTGATTCTTGAAACCAGTAAACCCAAAACAGGTGTGTGCTTTTAAGGGCAGGACAGCTGTCAGCAACACATCCAATATCATCACACTGATTGGAGTCAAGGTTGGCTCACTCCTGGCTCCAATTAGCTCTGGGAGAAGTCATTAAGCTAGGGCCTCACATACTTTTTCCTCCGTGCACTGTGAATGTTTACATGTTATGTGCAATTAAACCATGGCAACATCTAATGTTTGTGTAGTATTATGTTCAGCAGACTGTGTTCTTCTATTGTTGTGACTTAGATGACGTTCAGAGCACATTTTATGCCCAATTCATGCAAAACTCCACGTAATCCCAAGGGGTTCACATACTTTTTCTTGCAACTGTATTCTTGAGATTCAGTTTACTATTGTATAGAATAACGATATGGAGATTAGGAAGGTATGAATTTAGCAATATATTAGTATGTCCTGCCTTAAGATGCCTGTCAGGGCTCCCGGGTATGACCAGAGGTGTGTGACTGACACAGGGAAACGCAGACTTCAGATATGTTATAAACAATATAATTTATTAACACTAACCATACAACATAAACGCAGTGCAATACTATAACATAACACAGTGCAAACAAACCAACCAACCACCCACAGATGACAGTACATACAAGCAAGCGTCGTCAGGCAGGCCGGGTCAATATCAGTCGGGCAGGTAGGTACAGGGGGAGCAAGCGGAGAATGGTCGGGGTCACAGGCCAGGTTCAGCAGGTAGCGGGCAGCGTGGTACAGAGGGTCAGGCAGAGGAGAATGGTCAGACAAGCCAGGGACCAGAGCAGGGTCAGCAGAGAATCAGACAGGAACACAGAGCAGGAACAGGATACAGGGCCCAAGAGAAACACAACACCAAGGTAGAGTCTGCAGGTCTGAATGTCCCTTAAATACACCAGTATAATTAGTTCCAGGTGTTTGACTGGCTGCAAGGTTGAGTCTCTGATTGCTGGGAGCACCCGCTGGCCAGCCCTGGTACTGCAGCTCATAAGGCAGCTGAGTCCCACTATTGCTGGCCAGTCCATTCCTGACAGTACCCCCCCCCCCTCAAGGAGCGGCCTCAGGACGCTCCAAACAGTCCTAGCTGGGCAAAATGTTCCACCGCCCGGGTCTGGTAACTGGTGGGATATCAAAGACTGGCACACCGGCAGGACTCCGGGCAGCGGCACACCGGGCAGAGGCACATCGGGCAGGACTCCGGGCAGAGGCACATCGGGCTGGACTCCGGGCAGAGGCACATCGGGCTGGACTCCGCGCAGCGGCACACCGGGCAGAAGGCACATCGGGCTGGACTCCGGGCAGGGGCACATCGGGCTGGACTCCGGGCAGGGGCACATCGGGCTGGACTCCGGGCAGGGGCACATCGGGCTGGACTCCGGGCAGGGGCACACCGGGCTGGACTCCGGGCAGGGGCACACCGGGCTGGACTCCGGGCAGGGGCACACCGGGCTGGACTCCGGGCAGGGCACACCGGGCTGGACTCCGGGCAGTGGCACATCGGGCAGAGGCACTCGGGCAGAGGCACATCGGGCTGGACTCCGGGCAGAGGCACATCGGGCAGGACTCCGGGCAGAGGCAACATCGGGCCGGACTCCGGGCAGAGGCACATCGGATTACCAGGCGAAGCAGCAGGCAGCGGGCCACCAGGCGGAGCAGCAGCAGCAGCGGGCCACCAGGCGGAGCAGCAGGCACCGGTCCACCAGGCGGAGCAGCAGGCAGCGGGCCCCCAGGCGGAGCAGCAGGCACCGGGCCCCCAGGCGGAGCAGCAGGCACCGGGCCCCCCGGGCGGGGCAACGGGCACCGGGCCCCCAGGCGGGGCGGCGGGCGCCGGGCCCCCGGCGGGGCGGCGGGCGCCGGGCCCCCAGGCGGGGCGGCGGGCGCCGGGGCCCCCAGGCGGGGCGGCGGGCGTCGGGCCCCCAGGCAACAGGCGTCGGGCCCCCAGGCGGGGCGACAGGCATCGGGCCCCCAGGCGGGGCGACAGGCATCGGGCCCCCAGGCGGGGGGCGACAGGCATCGGGCCCCCAGGCGGAGCGGCGGGCGCCGGACCCCCAGCGGCGGAGCGACAGGTCTTGGGCCCTCAGGCGGAGCGGCGGCGGGCGCCGGACCCCCAGGCGGAGCGACAGGTCTCGGGCCCTCAGGCGGAGCGGCGGGCGCCGGACCCCCAGGCGGAGCGACAGGTCTCGGGCCCTCAGGCGGAGAGCGACAGGTCTCGGGCCCCAGGCGAGGCGGCGGGCGCCGGACCCCCAGGCGGAGCGGCAGGCGCCGGACCCCCAGGCGGCAGCGGCGGGCGCCGGACCCCCAGGCGGGAGCGACAGGTCTCGGGCCCCCAGGCGGAAGCGGCGGGCACCGAGTCACCAGGCACGACAGTGGGCTCCGAGTCAACTGGCATGACCGCTGGCACTGGGTCAGACATTGGATCGTCTGGCTGGACAGCGGGCATCGGGTCACCCCATCAGGTAATTTGGCTCCACAGCGGGCACCGCGTCATCTGGCAAGGCAGTGGGCTCCGAGTCAACTGGTATGACCGCGGGCACTGGGTCAGACATTGGATCGTCTGGCTGGACAGCGGGCATCGGGTCACCAGGCATCAAGTCATTTGGCTCGACAGCGAGAGCCACCGCGTCATCTGGCAAGGCAGTGGGCTCCGAGTCAACTGGTATGACCGCGGGGCACTGGGTCAGACATTGGATCGTCTGGCTGGACAGCGGGCATCGGGTCACCAGGCATCAAGTCATTTGGCTCGACAGCGAGCCCGCGGCATCTGGCAAGGCAGTGGACTCTGAGTCAACTGGCATGACCGCGGGCACTGGGGCAGACATTGAATCGTCTGGCTGGACAGCGGGCATCGGGTCACCAGGCATCAGGTCATTTGGCTCGACAACGGGCACCGCGTCATATGGCAAGGGCAGTGGGCTCCGAGTCAACAGCGCACGGACAGTGGGCACCCAATACCCGGGTCATCAGGTACCGGATTGTCTGGCTCTGGCTCGACAGCGGCGGGCATCGGGTCACCAGGTATGACAGCGGGCACTGGGTCTCACCAGGCATCAGGTCATTTGGCTCGACAGCGGGCACCGCTTTATCTGGCAAGGCAGTGGGCTCCCAGTCAGTCAACTGGTATGACCAGGGGCACTGGGTCAGACATTGGATCGGCTGACTGGACAGCGGGCATCGGGTCACCAGGCATCAGGTCCATTTGGCTCGACAGCGGGCACCGGACGTCATCTGGAGCAAGGCAGTGGCTCCGAGTCAACAGGCACGACAGTGGGCACGGGTCATCAGGCACTGGATGGCCACTGGCTCGACAGCGGGCATCGGGTCACCAGGTATGACAGCGGGCACTGGGTCACCAGGCATCAGGTCATTTGGCTCGCCAGCGGGCACCGCGTCATCTGGCAAGGCAGTGGGCACCGAGTCACCAGGTACGACAGCGGGCTCTGAGTCAATTGGCACGACAGCGGGCACCGGATCAGGTACCGGATCATCTGTATCAACAGCGGGCATCGAGTCAACTGGCCTAATAAATCGTCAGGCTGGATCTGTTCATCATGCTGGGTTAGAGCATCAGGCTGAATGCCGGCAAGTCCAGGGACTGAGTAGAGGCTTCAGGCTGAGTAGAGGCTTCAGGCCAAGTAGAGGCTTCAGGCCGAGTAGTAGGCTTCAGGCCGAGTAGAGGCATCAGGCCGAGTAGAGGCTTCAGGTCCGATAGAGGCATCAGGCCGAGTAGAGGCTTCAGGCTGAAGAGAGAGGCATCAGGCTGCGTACAGGCATCAGGCCGAGTAGAGGCATCAGGCTGAGTCATCCGGCTGAGTACAGGCATCAGGCTGAGTACAGGCATCAGGCTGAAGTACAGGCATTGGCTGAGTAGAGGATTCAGGCTGAGTAGAAGCTTCAGGTCTTTTGAACCACGGAAGGCGGGTTCACCGGTTTGGATACTGGCAGGATGGTATTGGTTGGAAAGAATTTTCGCTTTTTTTCTGGTTTTAACTACTGGAGCACTGCAAGTAAACGCAGGTCTGCAAACGAATGGAGCAACTGGAGACAGAGAAGAACTGGAGGATGGAACAGGAGAGGGAGCAGTTGCTACACAGAGGGCTACAGGGTTAAAGGCAGGATAGGTGCAGCGAGTGGGAACAGTGGGTACTGACATGGGTAGATAGCAGGGACAGGAGGCGCTGTTGGGAATGCAGGAATAGAGTTTTGAGGAAAATTAGATTAGAAGCAGGACTGGGTTTTGTAAGCTGACTGAGGCTGGGTGCAACAAGGCTGACCAGTCTGCAGTATGGGTTGAATGTGCAAAGCTGAGGCTTACCACAAAGCCCTGTCTGGTAATGACTGCACTGCGTTTATACAATCTCTTAGTGTCTGTGGTGAACAGCGTGGCATAAACGCTCCAGAAAGTAATCCACATCATCCTCTAATAACCACACCAGGGACTCCTTACCTGGTCTGCACTAAATGGTGGCAAAAATTCATCCCTGCATTCGGGTAGGTACCAGATGAAAACAACTCAGCACAAACCTCAATCAATGGCTGCACCTCAGAGTGAACTCTGTGCCCTGGCTACTAGAACATGAGGCGAGCCGTTTATACATTCTAGCAGTTCATCCCGGGGATACTCCTTCAGAGTTTTGATAAGCATACTCCCTGTCATCAAACACTAGCAGATATAAAAATACGCAACCTCATCCAGATCCATCCTTCCCAGGCAACAAACCAAGGGCTTCCCTGTGCAGCCACTTCTGGTCAGGATTGGCCTTGGTGTAATGTCAGGGCTCCCGGGTATGACCAGAGGTGTGTGACTGACGCAGGGAAACGCACGCAGACTTCAGATATGTTATAAACAATATAATTTATTAACACTAACCATACAACATAAAAGCAGTGCAAACGCTATAACATAACACAGTGCAAACAAAAACCAGCCAACCACCCACAGATGACAGTACACTACAATGCAAGCGTTTGTCAGGCAGGCCGGGTCAATATCAGTCGGGCAGGTTTTTACAGGGGGAAAGCGGAGAATGGTCGGGGTCACAGGCCAGGTTCAGCAGGTAGCAGGGGTAATTGACATGCGGTACAGAGGGGTCAGGCAGAGGAGGAATGGTCAGACAAGCCAGGGATCAGAGCAGGGTCAGCAGAGAATCAGACAGGAACACAGAGCAGGAACAGGATAAGGGCCCAAGAGAAACACAACACCAAGGCAGAGGGTCTGCAGTCAGACATGTCCCTTAAATACACCAGTATAATTAGTTCCAGGTGTTTGACTGGCTGCAAGGTTGAGTCTCTGATTGCTGGGAGCACACGCTGGCCAGCCCTGGTACTGCAGCTCATAAGGCAGCTGAGTCCCACTATTGTGGCCAGTCCATTCCTGACAATGCCGTTTCCGTGCAGGAGGGATCATAATACAAACGTGGGCTAGTTAGTAAACGGCTATAAAGCTGGGCTTGCCCCACTCCAAGATGGCGTTTTTGGTGCATAAAGAAGGGAGGAAGGAGAGTATAAAGCTGGCCGCCAGTCTGACGACCACACCCCTTTTGAAAAAGTTGGAAGTGATGAAACGCGCCAAGAGACGTGACGTCGGACGTAAGACGTAAACCGGAAGTAGCGGAGTGGCCATGTTAGGAATGGACTGGCCAGCAATGGTGGGACTCACCTGCCTTTTGATCTGCAGTACCAGGGCTGGCCAGCGGGTGCTCCCAGCAATCAGAGACTCAACCTTTCAGCCAGCTAACACCTGGAACTGATGATGCTGGGGTATTTAAGGGATGGCCAGACTTGCAGACTCTGCCTTGGTGTTGTGTTTGTCCTGGGCCCTGTATCTGTCCTGCATCCTGTTTCTGTTCCTGTTGCTGACTTCTCCTGCTCTGATCCTGGCTTGTGACCCTGACCATTCCTCTGTCTGACCCTCTGTACTATGCTGCTTGCTACCTGCTGAACCTGGCCTGTGACCCCGACTATTCTCCGCTTGCTCCCCTGTACCTACCTGCCCAATTGATATTGACCCGGCCTGCCTGACGACGCTTGCTTGTATTACTGTTATCTGTGGGTGGTTTGGTTTGTTTGCACTGTATTATGTTTTAAAACAGTATTGCACTGCGTTTATGTTTGTACTGTTAGTGTTAATAAATTATATTGTTTATAACATCTGAGGTCTGCGTTTCCCTGCTTCAGTCACACACCTCTGGTCATACCTGGGAGCCCTGACAGGCCATCTTGAGAGAGGTTCTGTATACCCTGTGCTGTATTGGATGGGTCATTACACTGTTTCTCATTGAGGATACATGAGATTTTTAGGGGTTTTTTCTTGTAAGAAACAAGTTTAATAAAGTAGACCATTTATACAATTTACTACACTATATGGTCTTTTCTCTCTTTTTTGAACTATGATATGATGCTTAATATGATTGGAGATTGGATCAGTGTGGATTAGGAGAAGTCATCTCACATCCAGGTTCTATTTATGCTTATTGGATATTTGTAATCCGGTAAGGTGCATGGTTTGGAAGGTGGAGGAGCGTAGTTTTCGTTTCACTGGTGTTGAAGAGGGGAGCACTTATCACATGTCCAAAGGATAATACACTATGATGCGTTTTTTCTTTCGGAGGAATCCCTTATGAGGATGATGATGCGTCTGTAGGATCAGCCGTGAGTGGATTCTTATGGGAATGAGATGTAAAGCTATATAAAGTATTTTTTAGGGTCAGAGTATTTAATTCAGCCCATTTAGTGGACACACAGTGATTTTTTTTATACATGTTTGAACTGGAATACACATTGATAGTTGATTTTTGCTTTATTATATTTTTGAGGATAATGCACTATATGTAGCCATTCTTATTGACATACACGTGGAGAGGGATCAAGTTAAAATATGATATTTTGAAGATTCACAGACGCTGAGGACGGTTTTTTAACTTTGGACTTTCTGGGGAGAAAGTATGACTTTTTGTACATCTATGGGATTTATTTATTTTATTTTGATAAACATTTTTGTGGGTATCCAATAGGTGCAGCAGGCTAGTCCATTTTGCTAAAATTTCCTTGCAGTAAGTAAAATGGTACTCAGTAGTCTGTATGGCCCCACGTGCTTATATGCAAAAGCCTGGAACCGTCGGGGCACGCTCCTAATGAGACGTGACGTAAGTGTCCTGGGGTCATTTTCTTACTACGATGTGTCCAGATATCACTGAGGTACAGAGGTACATCACATGGTACAAGGCTATTCACAACAGCCTTGTACCATGTGACAAGCTGTGACCAATCAACAGCTCACTCAGTAGTTCTCAATGGCTGCAAGAATGCAGACAGAGAGAAGGAGAAATGATTGCTTTTACATCCTTTATTGGTGTAAAAGAAATCAGTGTAAAAAAAAAAAAATCTTCATCCCCCACAAGTAGTACAGTGTCCCATGGTGACACTGTACTGCTAGGGTGACAGTATGTAAAAAAAATAAATAATAAAAAAAAATAATATAAAACAAATGTAAAAAAAAAGTTTAAAATTATAATTTTTGGTTATAAACTCATTTGGGTTATTTTTTTTTACTAAAATTATAACAGAATAAATTTTGGCCAAGATTTTTGATGAAATACTATTTATTTGCAAAATTTTATAAGAAAAACACTTTTTTTTTTTAAATTTTTGGACATTGTAATTTACATAGCAAAAAAAATAAAAACCCAGTGGTGAATAAATACCACCAAAATAAAGCTTTATCTGTCTCAAAAAAAAAATGCTAAAAAATTCATATGGGTACAGTGTTGCATGACCGCACAATTGTCATTCAAAGTGTGATAGCGCTGAAAGCTGAAAATTGGCCTGGACAGGAAGGGGGTGAAAGTGTCCGGACTGGAAGTGGTTAATGACCTTTGACCAGAAAGGGGAGAGCACAGGGCATGTCCCCATGTGCAGGACGTCTCCCGGGCAGTGCAGACGTCTATACTGTCATGGATGATATTGGTAATCAGGACAGACAGATGAGGAATCTCCATCTTCTCCATCTCCTGGTCCATACACTCTGCTATTTTATACGTCCACAGAGCTGGGAGAGGGCGGAGTCACCCGCTCGTGTCTCCTCCCCCTCCCCAGGAGGTCTCCGCACGGGGTACATGCCATTTCTCATGTGGCTCCTCCCAGTCAGTGGAATGCTCCTCCCCCTGTGCCGCCTCCTCCTACTCACATCACTTCCCCCGGACTCCGGTTTCCTCTCATTCTCGCTCGCTGTGAGGTTTGTCTTCGCCGGTATCATGCAGCTGTCGGAATGGCGGAGGTCGGTGTTGCTGGCGTCCGGCGTTGTGGTTCTGTGTGTCGGGGCGGCGCTGGTGTGTGCGGGAGTCCGGACTGGGCCGGGGTAATGTACACCTCATGGATCCATAGTACGGGGAGGGGGGGGTGTATACATTGATGTTCACCCAGTTGTGTCATTGGGGGCTTCTCAGAGGCCTGAGAGGCTTAGTCATAGGAGGGGGTTACTGAAGGGACCCGGGGATTGGGGAGCTCAGCTGGGGGGGACCCTGGGGACTGTGAGGGGTCTCAGCTGGGGCGACCACTAGGGGTCTCAACCGGGGCGACCACGGGGACTGAGAGGGGTCTCAGCTGGGGTGACCGCAGGGACTGTGAGGGGTCTGAGCTCGGGGGGAGGGGGGACCCCGGGAACTGTGAGGGGTCTCAGCCAGGGGGACCGCGGGGACCGCGAGGGGTCTGAGCCGGGTCGACCGCGAGGGGTCTGAGCCGGGTCGACCGCGAGGGGTCTGAGCTCGACCGCGAGGGGTCTGAGCCGGTCGACCGCGCGGACTGTGAGGGGTCTGAGCTCGGGGGGGACCGTGAGGGGTTCTCAGCCGGGTCGACCGTGTGAGGGTTCTCAGCCGGGGCAACCGCGGGGGGACTGTGAGGGGTCTCAGCGAATTTCAGGATTCAGGATATTAAGGGGTTCAGTTGAGGGGACTTTGAGGTTGGGGAGCTCAACTGAGGGGGGCTTTGTGGCTCGATTGAGTTGGGGGGGGAGCTTTTTTTGACCCTCTGAGGGTTTACTGTTGTTAGTAGTGGTGCACCAAAATGAAAATTCTGGACTGAAACCGAACATTCACGGTGCTCTTGGGGCAAAAACTGAAATTGACGGTTCTACATTTTTTTGATCTATATCCAGTAACATTTATTGACAGTATGCATGTGATGCACAACAATTTCACCTTTTGACAAAAAATATTAAATGCACATTATTTTGCAGGTAAAAAAATGTGCATTTACTATTTTGTGTTGCAGGAGCCTGGAAAGCATTGCAGCAGCGATCAGCAAATTACTGGCGCCATGCAGGTCTCCTGCAGATCTGTCAGTGTGTCTGCTGTGCCCATACATCCCCTACAAGCAAGCCGATACACTCTGACAGGAACAATCAATTGACTATCTCAGTGCCATGGTAATTCATGGAGAACTACAAGCTGATAGCTGCTTGGACTTCTAGTTTTCTCATTCACAGAATACATTTTATTTTTTTTATTTTTAAATTTCAGCAACTAGCGGGAGAAGACAATCCCCTACTAGCTGTCGGAGCGGGGGCCAGTCCTTTGATAACATGTTACACCCTGAATATGGGTATAACATGTGGCATGTTATGAAAGGTGAACTTATCCTTAACCTCTTCACGCCGGCCCGAACGCAAATGTGCGTCCTCCGGTGTCTGGGACTAGACGCACATTTGCGTTTTATTAAAAAAAGAACATATTTGTTGAGAGTGCGCGCCCTTTGTGCTCCCAGCACACATGTTTAGTACTCACGGAAAGGTCCCAATCTCCTCTATCGATCGGGATCTTTCTTGATCATGTGACCGCCTTGACGTTGTGTCACGGTGGTCACATGACCCTAAACCCCACCCCGCCTCCCGGCTTCTGAAACCCTTAAAGGCGCCGGTGTGAAGGGGTTAAAACAAACACAAATCAGTATTATAAGAACTTCTTTTTTTTTTTTTTTTTTTCTATCGGCAAAATGCCAATAACCTTATTTTCAGGCAATAATTTTCGGCGGCAGATATATCGATGTACCACTAGTTAATAGCAACCTAAATGCAGCCAGCAGACGCAAATTTTTGCAAACAGCGCAAGCAGGATGCCTATGGAAGCAGGAGCTTCTTTGGTGTGTTTGCTGTATGTGGGGCTGTCCTACGCCTGTAGCATTAGAACAATGCTTTGTGAATGGGGCCTTATATTACATTGGTCTGTGTTTGAAGCGTAGCTGAGAGGACTCTGGGGCTGGAAGGGAATTAGCCGAGGCGACTCTGGGATTGGTTGGGTGCTCAGCTGAAGGGATTCTGGGGCTGGGAGGGGGGCTGAGCTGAGTGGATTATGGGACTGGGGGGGCTGTTCTCACTTTTTTTTTCATATCCGGTTATAGCAAACTGGCCCATGCTTGAAGTGGTTGTTTTGGAGTTTCAGCTGAGAGGACTCCAGGATTGGAGGGGGGAAAGGAGCTCAGCCGAGGGATTGATGGGGGTGGACCAGCCAAGGGGGCTCTGGGGCTGGGGCCGTTTTATTGCAAAGGGGCCAATGCTTTTTCAAACACAAAACTCAGATTCTCACATATAGAAGTTGAACTTGATGGACCTGTGTCTTTTGTCCCCATTATCTATTTATGTAATTATGGGTTTTTTTTCCAACAGGGTTTGGAGATCACATTCACTGGAGAACTCTAGAAGATGGGATGCAGGAGGCTGCTAGCAAGTAATGTCCTTTATTGACTCTGTATGCTGTACATGGTGTACAAGCCTCACAAACTTTCTTTTGCAGTTCCTTAAAGTGACACTAAACCATAACCCTATTTTTCCAAAAATAACCCATACACACCCACTACTCAATAGATCTGTAATGTATTTTTCATGAAATTGTTACTTCCCGCCTGCTTGTAATGTCCTCTGAGTTCCTGAACCTCGCGCTTTCCCTCATTTCTATGTGTTTGGAATGAGTAGTGGATGTTAGTTGGGGTTGTGTACACTGCACTTTGCACACTACAAATCCCATAGTCCATCTTGGAAGCAAGAAAGAAATGGTTGCTACGTTCCCACATACAATGGGACCATGTAGAATTAATTAATTGTAGTCACCATCTAACGGCAAGTTGGATCACAACGGCAATAGCAAAAGTAATTTGGAGACTTGGAGGAGGCTAAAAGTGGACTTTTTCAGTTACAATCACATGCTTGAATAGAATTTTTTTTTGTTTTTTTTTCCATACACATCTTTTTCACACAAATGTTAAAATCGGCATTTCTGGCTAAAAAATTACTTAAAACCTCCAGAACATTCTTATTTTCAGAACTTATACGCTTGTAGAATAAAAACATGATAGTTTTTTTTAGTCAAATGATATTTGCGCAACTGTTTATTATTAAATCTATATTTGAAGAAAAATAAAAACACAAACATTAATTTTATTGCACACAAACCCAATTTAATTCATTTTTTCTTTTTTTTTTACAAAATAGATGAGGCAGTGTCAGGTAAAGAGATACCAAATATGCCAAGCCTGAAAATGCATGTGGCCACAAAATGGTGAAACGTTGCGCTGGCCTAAATTAATAGGCGGTGGTCTAAATGCATTTATGGCTCACCGCCATAGAGTAAACTGTAAATGAGGGCCCTAGAATTATTTTTCCCACTTCCACCTTTTAATTGCAGTACAATTCAATTAAAGTTGGAATCCCTCCAAAGCCTGGACCATCTCAGTATCAGATCACCTTCTCAATATGGATCACAGGAATGCAGAATTAAGTGTACTCATGTGACTCACAGGAGAAGTAGGGCCAAGAGAGCTTTGGCCCTACTTCCATTAAGTTCTGTAGGTTTTCCACATAGTGGTTATCTTTGTACGACAGTGCAGTCAGCATCATTGATTTTCAGTCACTGTAAGTTGATTCAGATTTGGACTGAGGTAAAAAGTGTGGTAAATTACAATGGTCAGGCTGCATCACTAAGCAAGGATCCTGGTATGCGCATGTATAAGGGAGCTTTTAGGTACAAAAAAAGTTGTTTATTTAATCACTTGTCTACCATGGTGCATTTATAAACGGCCCGATCGACACGTGGTTAAAGCAAGCTCACTGCTGCTGCGTTAATAGCCAGCAAAGGACTTCCAATAAGTGATCCAGGTGGCTCCTGGAAATACTGTATACTTTTTGGGGGAATTTACAGTAATTTTTAGCAAGCAATGCAGATGTTAACATGTGCAAAAAAAAGACTATTGACATTAAAGAAGAACTCCAGGTAAGAAATACGATTTCAAAATCTGTTAGATGCAGGGAGGTTTATGCCACCTCTTGGAGCATTTTTTTTTTTTTTTTTTACTGTTTCCTGTTTACTCTGATGCTCCCAACTACAGATGCACTTGCAGCTGCCCTGCCTGCCCCTCCTTTCCCTTTGCCCAGCACTTTGCGCTTTGTGAACCCATTGACAAAATCCAGAGCTTTCTTTGAATGGGCAGGGAGAGGAAGGTAGGGCAGAGAAGCTACTGTGTAGGAGAGCTTTATTTCTCCTATGAGCGCTGGAATATACTGAAAACTATCAAAATACAATTAATAATACTCGTGAGCCAAAATGTGATACTCCCCTTAACGTGATAAATAAATAACTAGAATCATATATAGCTAATGGTGCATCAACACTTTACACAATACTCATTATCTGTGCAAAAACATAAACATAAATCATTATATGTATCTACATATACATATACGTGCCGCACTCCATAATAAACTCAACAACTCGTATACTAGTGATAATTCAAATAATAACGTGAACAAAATTACTGTGCTTCAAACCAGTGCAACATGTAGTGCATTTCAAAATAATGTTCATCCAATATTTAAAACTGTTTTATAAAAAGTCCTCTTTGTGCTTCAATAATATTTCAGTGACAAGTGAGGTGTATTGTGCCACACTCCCCGTGCTCTATAGATAGGTGTGCGCTCACCTCCTTGTTAGCCAGACAAGCTGGCTAAACACACTTTTTGTGCTGTCAGGACAAGGTGGGAATCTTCACTTTATATGCGTGTTTCCATCCATATTGTGGATTGCCTTATTTTCTGCCACCAGAGGTCTCCCTCCTTCCACACTTTAGCCTCAATAGGTTTCTTTAAGGATGGTTAAGATGATATTTCCTCCTCCCAGTAAACCATGTAAAAAAGAGCCACAGATAGTGCCTTATCCTTTGTGAGGCTTAGCCTATTTATTAGTAAGTAAAATCGCCACTCACATTATATACAGCAGTGCTGTGTTCAGCTGATATGTGCCCAGATCCTGTGTTTGTAAGTGCCGCTCGTCCACCGCGGCGTCGTGACGTCAGAGCCCCTCCCCTACGCGTTACGCCACAGGGTCAGGTGGCTTCATCAGGGGGAAAACAGAAACAGTAATTTTGTTCACGTTATTATTTGAATTATCACTAGTATATGAGTTGTTGAGTTTATTATGGAGCGCGGGCACGTATATGTAGATACATATAATGATTTATACTGAAAACTATACTGTTGGCTTCTTCCAGGTTCCTGTTATTCTTTTTTAGCTATTGTTCAGCCTTTTATGATGGACCTATCTCTATTTTTGGCATTTTACAGATGTTGGGAATGGCCCAGTAGTGTGCACTGCACTGTACATGCAGTGTGGTAGTATCCCATAAGAAGACATCTTTAGTTACTTGATTTCAAATTTATGTTTTGAAGTTCGGCAGACGGCATAAAGTTGGCCTTTTGTTAAAGACTTTGGTGTTTCTGCCTGCTTGTAGGAAGACTTATTGTTGCACCTATGCATAGATCAGGGTTGCATATATCCATGTCGGTGGGACAGTTGTCATTTTTTTTGTTACATTGTCAGCTTGTCACCTGGTGTTTGAGCCACTTCCCACCAGGAATATTGCATTCCTGTGCGATTTGCATGCAGTTGTGTGGTGCGATTTCAGCCCATTCACTTTACATGGGCCGTAATTGCACTGCTCCGCACCAAACGTAGTACATGCACCAATTTTGGAAACTTGTTGCAACTGGACCGCATGGTACTTTTTGCACCATGAAATCTGGTACTGACAAATGCATTACGTTTTGTGACCTGCATTTGAGGTGTTATTAACTTATTATTGAAATCTGCTGCAGATTGCAGATGCAGTGCATTTTGAATGGGGTCCACGAAACTCTGATTTCCCCACATTGAGTTATGGGGTGAACTGTCCCTTACATATACCCAAGCAAGCTGTGCTACTACGGCTTAGATCCAGTTATTATAGGTCCTGGCAAGCAGCCAAGTAAGATGCCTCTGCTTAAGGCAGGCAATAGACGGGCCTTTGGCCGATAAACGAAAAATCAGTCGGCCCTGTTGCCGATGCTGCCACCCATGTCCGTGAAAAACGGCCGACGGGCTGGCCCCACTAATGGCGTGATTATCAGCTGAATTTTCGTCCGCACAAAAATTCGGCTGATAAACGACCCATCTATGACCTGCATACCAGTCACTTCCAGTTTGCTAAACAAAAAGAAAAGTGTAGTATTTATTTATTTTTTTTTCTCTTTTCAGTGGCCTGCCGATAATGCTCCTAATTCATAAGACATGGTGTGGAGCCTGCAAAGGTAATATAGTTAAGAATTCTCCTTGCAAATACTTCATTATCGTATTTTTTTTTTTTTTTTTTTTTTAATTGTTTGCATACCTTGGGCATACATAGCAAGCCCAAGAAACCTAATGAAAGTACACAGGGCAAATGTAATACACCCTGTCCCTCAGCTACCGATGTTCGCACCAACTGTTGCTGAGTATTACAAAGCTTTCAGAGATACAATGTAACATTGTTACATTGTATTAACTTTGTTCAGTTCAAGAAAACTCAATCCTCAAAAATGTACAACTTTGTTATCCTAGGTACCGGCGCACACTACTGCAACTCAGCAGTGTGAATGCAGCCAACATCTTATTTTTTTAGTAAGTTTGGCATCGTGTCTTAGCGGACAGCTTTGCTGCCAATTGCGAGGCAGTGACTTAGTGTTGTCAGTCTATAACCTAAGTGTTGCTACTGGCAGGATCTCCATGTAAGAAATTTTGCAACAGATGTTTTAAATAAATCATTGCTCAAATTGTATACGGTGAGGCATAATGCCAAACATACCAAAGATAACTTTTAATGAAACGATTTTTTTTCCTTTTTTGTTTTTTTTTTTTCGTTTTCCTCCATAGCTTTACTTGTCCAGAAAGCATGCAATATGTTGATTTATGAGATTGATGATGAGCCATGCGGAAAGCTCGCTGTACCCTTTGAGACCTTAAAAAAAAAAAAAAAAAAAAAAAAAAAAAAATTGCAGTAGCTATGTTAGTGTGGATAGTGCTCGAATTCTTCACCAAAAATATTGTTCTTTATATACCTGATATCCCTGCTGATGTGCCTCTAAATCATTAATCTTTTATGTTTCTTTCATGCAGCTCTGAAACCAAAGTTTGCAGAGTCCAAGGAGATATCTGAACTCTGTCACAACTTTGTGATGGTGAATGTGGAGGTGAGAGACCAGCTGCTGCTTGTTGAGATCCCTTGGTTGGTTGAAGCTGACCTGTGGCAGATTTCTTAAAAAAAAATGAAAGCCCAATTGTATTTTCACTTAAAAGTAATTGGATACATTTATTCAGGAATATACAACTATTTATGCCTTCTGTTTATAAGGCTCCTTATTAAACTCCAGAACCAGTATAAGAACCTCTCCCTGGGCAGTAGGCTGCAGATAACACTTCTGTTGTGTGTGGCTAGCATTCTCAACAAACCACAATGGAACCCAGGGATGAAAAACACATCAAATTTATTTAGGCATAGAAACCAGGAAGTAAGTGAAGGAATGCAAAATATATCTGCAGGGAAATATCAGCGGGAGGAGCTTCTAGTCCTCTGCTTCCATTCACGTGTCATTTATCTGCAGTGTATATGCCCACATATGTGACTATATTCACGTGGACTGCTCAGATAAGAAACACGAGTAAATGAACAGCTTAGAAGGAAACTGAAACATGGTCAGTTGATTTGACACCAGCTGGTCTACACAATCCTACACTGCAGCAGGGACACGGACAAGAAGGGAGGGACAGAGGACATCAGGATCAACCAGGTATTCTGCAGAACACAGAAAACTAATCCCATAGTGACTGAGTATGAACAGCATGTAATGCTGACTGAATGTCCTGACAGGTTTTAATGGTGTTCTATTGCCACTTTAAGCTGGCCATACTCTAGTATAGAGTTTTTTTGTTTAAAAAGGTTTGTCTTAAGTGATGCATAGATGGATCGAATCTCGCCTGGTTCAGCAGGGATTGGCTGAGTTTCATTCCTTCTATGGGCAGGCTGGGCTGTACTGAAGTAAGTCAATCAATCAAGTTCAGTACAGCCAGCCTGTCAGATTTGTTTTTCATGCAATCACTGCCGTTGACTATAGCCACCAGCATTGATCATTGCCTTCTGCTGGCAGGAAAGGCTGCTCGCTGGCAGAACACGATAGCACAGCGGTAGGGATTATCCATTAACCACTTTCCTACTGCCAACGCCACATTGCAATCTTTGGTGCATTTTTATGCTTAATTTCTCTGTGGATCCGTGCCCTGAAACATATACAGAAATGCGCTCGCCACCCAATGAATTGATACCAGAGTCTACCATAGGAGACTGCCGCTGGCACTTATAGGCCTGCACATGCACACTACTGCCAAAGTCTGCTAGTTAACGTACCAGCATGTCTTTGTAGTGTGGGAGGAAACCCCCCACAAACATAGGGAGAACATGCAAACTCCATGCTGACAGTGCCCTTCTATAGTATTGTGGATGTTTGTGCTGTAATGTTATAATTTATTCTTTACAATATTGGAGTTAGGTGGGGGTTATGTTAACCCGGTAACATCAGCCATATTCATATACGTGGCAGCTCGGTGGCGGCCTTTAATGCCAAGCTGCCACATGTATTTGTACAGCTGGTGTACATTGTTTTGGTGTGAGTGTGCTCCCCTGTGCCCCCTAACATGGTGACTAAGCAATCTCCAACAGCACCTAGCAAATGTTTATAATCGGGGGACAGACTTCTGATCGCTTGATCACTGTGACAGCCAATCACAGTCATCACATGATCCTGAAGCTGGTGTTAAGAACCAAATAAAGGGCCAGCTCCTGCTGGCTGCAAATGGTCGAGTTGTGTTTTAAGGCTTTTATTTAAGAAGAAAAAAAAAAATCTATGTATCAACATATTTTTTTTTTTATTGAAATTTCATAGGTTTGAGGAGCTGAAAGTGAACAATGTACAGGATTTTTAACTCCGTCCCGCCAACCGCACGCATATTTGCGGCCTCACAGAAGTGGGTCTTTATCTGTGGGGCTACATGTAAGCATATGTCTTTGTGCTGGGAGCACGCCATACAGCCTGATCCCAGCAGAGACCGGGCTCTCACCCAGGCCAGTTAGAGGCTATCACCGCGATCAGGTGCTGTGAGCCTACCCCTGTTTACTTCCTTTTCTGAATGAAGGCAAATATACATTGTATCTTTCTCTTCTGGTGGGAGAGGAAGACCTAAAATAAATAAGTAAATTAAAAAAAAAAAAACTATATCAAGGTTTGCCAGATTGTGTTGGGGTCATGGCTGGGGGTTAAAGACCACAGTCAGTATGTTTTAGGTAAAATTTTTAAAGGAAAAAAAATGTTTAAATTAGTATCTGTGTTTTTAGGCAGGATAAAAAAAAATGCAAAACACGTTTTGTTTCTGGGCTTTACTACGCATACAAACAACTAACATACACATATGTGGTATTGCTGCAATTGTCTGGAGCAGCAGAATTTATTTTGGGTTGCTCTTTGGAGGTAAATTATGGTAATCGTAAGAAATATACAGCTAAATTTGTAAAAAAATAAATACATTTTTTACTATTTTGGGCCAGTTTTCTTTCGGTAATAGAAAAAAAAAGTCAGGACATATCCATTACTATTCACCCCCAAAAGAGAGCCCAATTTGTCCTGAAAAAAACAAGTTATAATCCATAACTTTTTACATTTTTATAAATAAATTTTCTACTTTTTTTTATTTATTATTATTATTATTATTATTATTATTATTAATAATAATAATTTTTTTTTTTTTTAGTGATCACATTCCCTGTGTTCTCAGCTGCATAAGAGCTGGAGAAGGAGAAACAGCAGTACACTAATATTCCCAGTAAAAGGCTCTGCAGGGGGCGTGTCAGTACAAGTCTGATCATTGGGGGAGAGCAGGCTGAGTTCCCAGCACAGCGAGAAAACTGACCGCAATGTGCTTATTGTGGTCAGTTTTTAATCGGAAAGCAGAGGGACTGGCAGGAACACCAGGGATTTCACACAAAGGAATCCATACTAAAAAACAGCATACTTTTTTCTTGCAAGTCCATGGTATAGCAGGCACCTATCAGGAATATGAAATTAATTTTATATTTTACTTAATTTTTGGCATAAATTGCTTGGCTCCTGAAGTTGATGTACACAATCTACTTCACCAGCTGTATTATTCCTAAAACTAACATTCTGGCTTTGAACAAACACCTAGTAGGGTGTGTTCGGCCATAAATCTTGTTAATGTAACAACACTTTTGCTAGGATTGGTAATGATTGTGTTTGACAGATTGGCTTGGTGACTATTACTGTTTTCTTAGTTGGTTTTATACTGGAGTCTGTATTTTCCTGGTATATGTGTGGGCTTCATTTTAATGATCTTATTTTGCTCAGCAGAAACAGAACATAAATTTGGCTTCTTAATATTTTTTTTGTCCTCAATTACTGCTGTAGGAAATGTTTTAACTTTTTTTTTTTTTTTTAAATAGATGTTCCTGTATTTAAAAAAACAAAACAAAAATCAAATGCAGTTAGTACGAGTTGCATGTGACTGTTGAAATTCCAGGTGCAGCCGAGTGTATACTCGGAGAGGGTCGACCAGAAATGGGGGCTAATTTAAGCTAGGCATAGACAGAGCGATTTTCTTTCTTGCAACCATAGGTCAGTGTGGTTAGGGAGGAGGGTGTCCTTGCTGGGAGAACACTGCTAGCGGCTATAATAATCGCATGTCAAATCTGATAGGCTGGTTGTACCCACGTCAATCGCTCAACTTGGGTACATTCAGCTTGCCCATACATGGTTCAAATCTTGGTCAGTCCCTGCTGAACCAGACAAAATTCAAACAGTCTATGGCCAGCTTTAGACTGTGCTGCAGTGCATGTGTTTACAAAGGGCATGTTGACATAAGGAAAGAGTAGAGGGATGTGCTCATCAGTCTGCTGCTTCTTTACTATCCAGTCACAGGATAGGGCAGAAGGGTGACCACCTTTTATATTGCTTTACTGCAGTTGAAAAGTCTTGACCGTAACCCCCCCTACTAAATCAGATCTTTAAGCTCTGCAAACCACAAAGCTAATACTCCCTGCTGTTCAAAGAGCTCTACCTCTGACTCAGTAGGGTCGTATAGAGAGAATGCTGCTTCCCAACAGAAAGCAAACGTACTACTCTGCGGCATGCTGGCAGGGGACAGGCTTTTCTAAATTGGGTTGTGGCTTTTTTGGAGGAAAAAATACCCCTAAGACTTTGCGCACATAAGCTCAATTCACGAAGATTTAACACCAGTGTAAGACCTTCTATTTTTAGTCAAGTGACTAATTTTCATATCTCGTCAGACTCCACTGAGAATAAGTAACACTTGAAAATAAGGATACTTATTCTCGCATACTAGCTCTGTAAATTGAGCCTTTTTTATGTTGATGCTCCTGGGACATTTTTAACTAAATAAAGTGATTCTAAAAGCATAATTTAGAAGAAAAAATAAAACAAAAAATACCTATTGCGTCATACCTACCTGCTCAGTACATTGGTTTTGCACAGAACAGCCCCGATCCTCCTCCTTCTCTGTCCCCCTGCCAGCACTCCTGGCCCCTCCCTCCTGTCTGTTGCCCCCATAGCAAGCAGCTTGCTATGGGGGCACCTGCTCCTGAGTAACTGCTCCAGGTGCCCATTCACACACGGAGCTGCATCCCAGCCCTGCCCCCCTCTCTTCTCATTGGCTCACTGGCTGTGATTGACAGCAGCGGGAGCCAATTGTTCCCGCCGCTGTCTCAGCCAATGAGAGGGAGTCCCGGGATAGCCGATACTCCAGTACACATCGCTGGATCAAGAGAGGGCTTAGGTGAGTATTAGGGTGGCTGGGGTGGATGCTGCACAGAGAAGGTTTTATGCATGAAGGTCAAAAACCTTTAGACTTTACAACCACTTTAAGCTGAAATTTCAGTTGGGCTTTAAATCCTATTCAATTTACTTTATAATTATTATTTTATTTTTTTTTTTTTTTTTTGCATTACTGTTTGATATAAAAATTATTGGTGTACTGTAGATCATGCTGGCCAACTCCTGATAATTATTGATTGTGTTTTTCTTCTCCTAGGATGAGGAGGAACCAAAAGATGATGTGTATAGCCCTGATGGTGGCTACATCCCAAGAATTCTATTCCTGGGTAATTTGCATTGATTACAGCTTCTAGAGGCACAGTATATGGGTTGCATTAAATTAAAGTTACACTCCAACCTTGTAATGCCTATAGGGAACACATTTTACCTGCTGATGGATTAATTGTTTTATCCATGCATTGTTTTCATACACTATTGCCCTCCCCTCCAGAGGATTTAGCCCCCCCCCCCCTTCCTGACCAGGCCATTTTTTGCATTACGGCGCTGCTTTACTTTAACTGACAATTGTGCAGTCATGCAATGCTGCGCCCAAATGAAATTTTTTTTTTTTTTTTTTTTTTTTCTACCCACAAATAGAGCTTTCATTCATTGCTATTTGGTCGTCTGTGCGGTTTTTTGGGGGGGTTTTTTTTGCGCTATACAAAAAGAAAAGACAACTTTGAGTAAAAAACAATATTTTTTACTTTTTGCTATTAAACATGCCCAGTAAAAAAAAATTTAAGAATCAGATTTCAGTGATGCCAATACCGTGATCAGTGCTAATAAAAAGCACTGACACTGTACTAATGGCACTGGGCAGGAAGGGGATAACATGTGGGGCAATCAAAGGGTTAACTTTGTGCTGCCTTACTGTAAGCTATGTGTGTGCTTTCAACTGTACGTGCACTGCTTTGTATGGCTCTGCTATGCAGAGCCATACAAAGCAGTGTGCAGGAGCTGACGGGAGAGAACTGTTTTGTTTACATACAGTTCTCTCCCCCGTCGGTAATACTCAGCGGCCTGGACCTGATGATTGACAGCTGAGGCCACAAGTAGCGGCGCAGGTAGGGTGTGTGCTCCCCCTAACCGGAAATGCAAAATCACGTATATATACATGATTTTGCACACCCCTGCCGCCTTGTAGCAGTATATCTGGTATAGGGCGGTGGGAAGGCTGTTAATCCAGATGAAACTGGCTCTAAGGAAGTTGGGTGCTTTATGTAGGACACCACTGTTGCAACTGACACCCCCTGAAGCACAGAAGGTGTGTCTTTTGATGGTAACTAGGTCTTATGAGAACCTGGGCTTCAGATTCAGAATGCCTGCTATAATGCCATTTGAAGAAAATTTGGGGGGGAAGTAGGGAAGGGAAGAAAATTTGGAAAGCAGCAGTGTTTTCCACGAAGCATGTGGAACGACAACAGGTCTGCGTATGCTGACATTTTCTGGAATCGTAAAGGAGGAAGTAGTTTGGGATTTAGAGACTTACAGGTTACCCTTCAAGGGCAAAGTAATAGCCTCTAATGTAAAATGAGTGAACTTGACTTCAGCACAGTTTTAGTCATATTTTTTTTTCTCCCACTCTAATTTCCTATCCTGTGTGGGATATCCATCCACAATATGCACAATTCAGGCCAATATTTCTAAACTTAAGTAAACCAATGCTATCCCCCTATACTGACCACAGTTCCATTGTAATGCCACCTCTGCCCTTCCTTGAGAAACTTCCAAGAGGTAGCGTGGAGTGTTGTTGGTTTATGTCTACGGAAGAACTGCCTATGCTGAATATTTTCAACCTCCCTGAGACTGTTTCCCTATGCAGAGTGCTGATGGCTGTGATTAGCTTGGCAACCTGTGACAGTGCTTCCCCCCTCCCTCATATCTGTAGTCTTGCTGTGTCTCTACACTTAGCTGTTCTTCACACTTTCATATTTTGGCTTCTGCCTTTTTGTTTCTCCATTATAATCATGTATGACAGTGACAGCTAAAACTTGCATGTTTCTAGCACATCAAGAAAATATGAACATGACCTGTCTGCAGTTGGTTGCACTCATTGCATTAAATGCTATTACCAGTGGTCCTGCAGCATGCATGTGCAATATGCTATTTTGCAAAGTATGTAAATGCCACTTATTGCTGTTGAAATGCCTTGCATTGCAATTGGTCAAACAAATGAACTATCTGAGCTACATTATGTGTAAAAGTGTGTGTATGTATGTGTGTATGTATGTATGTATGTATGTATGTGTATGTGTGTGTGTGTGTATGTGTGTGTGTGTGTGTATAACTATGTGTGTGTGTGTATGTGTGTGTGTGTGTATATATATGTGTAAAAGTGTGTGTGTGTGTGTGTATGTGTATATATGTGTGTGTATATATGTGTATGTGTGTGTGTATGTATATATGTATGTATGTATGTATATATGTATGTATATATATATATATATATATATATATGTAACGGGGTTAGCTCGGCAGCGGGTGTGTGTGACCCCCTGGATGGGTGCACAACACAAAAAGACAGGCACAGCACAACAGTGGAGGTGAAAACAAACAGGTGCAATTTATTTACAATATTTACAGAAAAATGGTAAACCAAAAAGAAACATCAAAATAAATCCTGGCCAACTTGGCTACTTACTGCAACAACAGCTTTCCCTAGCTACCCACTAGGTACAGCCTGCTGCTAATACTTGGAGGCTAGCCACACAGGCTTTGGTCTCTCTGCACACAGATAAGATGTCAGCTCCCCAGTCAGTTCAGACACAGATCTGGTTCCAGGTTGGAGCCACTCCCTAAGCACTCTGGGAAGTTTTATACAGGTCTTAATGAGCCCACTACCTTCAGCTGGGCTCATTACCTCAGTGCTGAAGGACTCGGCACTTCCTTCTAGTGGGACAAATCCCCATAAAGCCTGAACCTCGGACAAATGTATCGTCCATTCAGGACGCAACCAGGTGATTTCACCTGCCTACTGTCACTATATATATATATATATATATATATATATATATATATATATATATATATATATATATATATATATATATATATATATATATATATATATATATATTACTGTAACAACATATTATAGTCATAGGACTTTATGTGGACATATTGTCAGTTCACATGCTAAAAAAAAAGAGTATCATCAAAACATTTTAAAATTCCATTTAAAACATCCAAAAATATTTTAAAAAATACTCTCCACTTAGCGGCTCACAACCTGTATGGATTCCAAACATTACTGACATGTCAGCTCAACACTTTTTGGAAATTCTTCTTCAAGAGCACATCAATAAGCAGAATCAATACATTAGAACCCACTCTGGATCTTTTCAGGAGGATCAGATTAACTGGAACTTAAAACGTGAACAGGTTTCCTAATGGGGTGCATCCAAAAAGCCAAGATGGAACCACTGCCCTCCAGATCTAGACTAACCCCCTCCCCCCACCAAATGCAAAACTTCCATGTTCAGAAAATGCACCATATGCACATGTGGGGGTAAACACAGATGCCAAAGTGCATCAGCTTTTAAACATGTACAAGAACATATAGCCGTTTATTTCTATGACCGGCAATACCCAGCACCTGCAGTGGAAATTTTACACTCGAGCTCGTTTGTGCCTGTGATTGTAGCCTCAGGCTGCACAGACTCTTGAAACAGGTGGTGGTTGTTGCTTGCCACCATGGTTATCATTTCTCTTGCTCTTTCTTGTAACTGGTTGACAGGCCAACTAGACCTACCTTTTTGATAGGTAAGACAACCAAGCAAACAATAGGAGGGCTGGTAGGATATCTGTTCATCTCCAAATAAATGGTTGTCAATAGGCAACTTACAAATCTTTGAAGAGTGGTCGGCTCACTCCATTGAATACCTAGGCACAAAAAATTCAGCGAATTTGAACAATATCGTGCTCAATTTTAAATCTTCTTTGTCAACCCTGTCGGCTGACCTAGCGAAATGGGATTCCTTGGCCTTGTCTTGGTTCGGCTGTGCAATGTGTTAAAGATGAATGTGATGCCTAGACTTCTAGATCTACTACAAGCCTTGCCTATTAGAACACCTTAAACATTTTTTTGTACGGTGCGATCTACCTTCATTGAATTTATCTGGCATGGTAAACATTCTTGCCTTGGCAGGGCCTTAATGCTGGGGTCAAAACTTCAGGGTGGAATGGGCTTCCCTGACCCTGCCTTGTATTATACTGCTGTTCACATGACCAGAGTGGTTGACTGGTGTAGGCACAAAGACTGAAAACTTTGGATCACTTTGGAGCAAAAGGCAGCTTGTATGCCACTTCCGGGTTTACCCTGGCCAGGGAAACATGTCACTCATTTAACTACGCATCCCCTTATTGGACCCATGCTTGCCAAAATGAATAGATTATTTTTACGATCTTCACTGCAAAGCTTTCCCTCCCCAATGACCCCAATAGTGAGCCACCCAGGGTTCACCCCTGCCCTCAGTGATCTTATCTTCATATCACAATCTTCACAAGGGCTCCTGTGTGCCTCCCAATTGCTCCGATCCCATCACTGGATTCTGTCTGCCAACTTACTGTCCGGCCAAGCTCCTCTCAGATTGGAATATCTGAAGAGGCCTCCAGTGGTCCACTTTCTGAGATCTTTGCCTTGGCCCATGCCCTTCACACGGACTTTACACTCTTTTGAGTTGCTCTGCTTAGGCAAGGGACGGATTTGTCATTTCCTTTCTACTTTGTATAAAGTCTTGCTGGCTCTTCATGCCACATCTGATCTACTACCCTATCTAGAGAATGGGAGAGAGACTTAAAAGTCACTTTTTCCGCTTCCCAAAAGGAACGTATACTTTTTCTTCACATAAGTCTTCCCTTTGCAGCAGATATCAAGAGATTACTTATAAAAATACTTGCACGTTGCTACAGAACCCCGTCTGTTCTAGCCAAATTTTTCCTACAACAATCGAGATGCTGGCCCATTTTCTGGGACTGCCCCAAGCTGCAACTCTTCTGGCAAGCAGTACCTCAACTTATCTACAAATTCACAGATGTTTCTCTGCAGGATGCTACAAGCACAGTTCTACCTGAAAAGTTACTAAACCCAGGACCCTGCATTCACTATACCTGGTCTCCCACAGTACACACAACATGGAAGTGCAATTATTTTAGTAAAAACTGCTAAATACATTTTCTCATCAGCAGTATACAGAAGTCTTGTGACTTCAGCAGAGCACTGGTTAAAGCTTGTAGGAGGATTTTTTTTTTTTCTTTCTGCTCTAGGAGGAAGAAAAACTCTGACCCTCTGTCTGGACAGTGCTGATTGGCCCTGTGCTGATCACATGCACTCTCCCAAGGAAAAAAAAAAACACCTCTCTAGCAATACACACTAAACTGAGCATGTCCATGTGGCTATGGGTTCAGTCTGTCTTATCAGGAGATAAGACGTGGACATTTGAACCAGAGGTGGGCCAAAAAAACAAGATCTAATGGCCTTTTTCCACAATGCAGAGCATTAACCCCTTAGGTTCCACAGGGAGTATAACAAGCATACTTTACTGCATATACAGACTGATTTTACTGTTGTGGGTTCAGTAACGCTTTAATTTGACCCCTTTATCCAGAAAACCGTATCATAAATCTCTCCCAAACTCTTCCTTAATGCAGTGTGTGCCTGTATCCCTTGTATGTGGACACAGTCCGCTCCAGCAGTGGTCCAGTTTCCTGGCAAGAGTTGATCATGGTGAGCAATTAGAAAACCTGACTTCCACTCTCCGAGGCAAATCTGAGGAACATAAGACCAGATGATTTTATTAGAACCTGTTTCGCTTCTACTATGAGTTCCTCCAATACTCATAACCTCTGTGCCACATAGGTGGCAAATTGTGCCTAAATGGTATGTTATTGCCCACACGGTGATGACCCCCCACACACCCTTTTCCTTTTTTCCTTTATATATATATATATATATATATATATATATATATATATAATATATATATATATATATATATATATATATTATATATATATATATATATATATATATATATATATATACATATATACATATACACACAAACCATTTTTTTTTGGTGTGCACAAAAGCCAGCTGGACCCCCTGCATTCGACTTCCCTCCAAGACTGCTAATCCCTTTTGGGAGATAGCCTCGTAAACCCCGATTTTATATAGTTCCGGCGGGCTCTATTGTTTTTCCTCTGCATTACCTTGACTACTGGTTGATTGTGAAAAGTTTTTGGATTCCGTTAATAACGGATCTATATTTTGCTTACTTATCGATCATCTTTCTGATTGGAGTGTATTTGCTTCCTGAACATATTACCTGTACCATCATTGGTTGCATGTATAGTAATAGCAACTTATAGTAATTGTTGCATACCTATATTAAAAAACAAAAAAATCTTTGGAGAGTCAATGGCTGTAGGTATCTGACTTTAGCAAAACTATATAAGGCTCTTGTGGTTGCAGAATTATGAATTTGTTTCAAAACCATTTGTATTTTAGATCCCAGTGGGCAGGTTCATCGAGGGATAATAAACTCAAAAGGGAACCCAAGTTACAAGTACTTCTACAGCACTGCAGAGCAAGGTATGTAGGATGGCTAATGAAAGCTTGAGGGAAAAAAAATCTACCTGTGACATATTGGCCTAGTTTGTGCAGGTTATTTCAGAAGTCCAACGTCCTTACAATTCAGTTTGAAGACTTTACTAAATTTGAAATCCGCACTGAAAGTAGAAAATCATTTACAATTGCTGTAGGTTCTGTTGCTGAACAGGTAGGTTTTTTTGGAACATTTAAGCTTTGTGTTCTATGAAAAGTACCAGAAAGTCTCACTGCCTCTCCCCCTGAGGTCCATATCCAGGCTTGACAAATTTGATTTGAATCCAGGAGCTGGCTTAGAAAGGTTAGGAGCCAGTTTTGAAAAGCTTTATTTTCAGTGACAAAACCCCCTCTTATGTAGCCCTGATGTGTATCTTTACAGATGCACGACACAGGGTACTCACCTCTGAATCGGAGCGAGTGAGCTCTTATAAATGGCAAATACCATGAATACATTCTCTCCAGTTTCTATGGTGCCCAGCTCAGTGCCATGACAACAGGGTAAATGGCACATCTGCAACTTTTGAATCCAGGAGAGGTGATGCTGTGGCACTCCAGCAGCTGATGCCAACGCTATCTGTCTGAAGCTCTGTTTTTAATGTAGCACACATGCTGTGCACCATCTATCCCAGTGCCATGATGTTGCGCTCATCACCATGGCAACAGGGAAGACGTATGACCTATATAACATTACACCCCCTTTCTGTTTAGACATATTCTAATCCCCCTACATACCACAGACCCTCATTGGGCATAGACATATGACAACCTATATACCACAGCCTCCCCATCCTGTGTATCCATATGACCACCTATATACCACAGCACGCCCATCCTCCTGTATAGACATATCCCCCCCCCCCCCCCCAACATACAGTCAGGTCCATAAATATTGGGACATCGACACAATTCTAACATTTTTGGCTCTATACACCACCACAATGGATTTGAAATGAAACGAACAAGATGTGCTTTAACTGCAGACTGTCAGCTTTAATTTGAGGGTATTTACATCCAAATCAGGTGAATGGTGTAGGAATTACAACAGTTTGCATATGTGCCTCCCACTTATTAAGGGACCAAAAGTAATGGGACAATTGGCTTCTCAGCCGTTCCATGGCCAGGTGTGTGTTTATTTCCTCATTATCCCAATTACAATGAGCAGATAAAAGGTCCAGAGTTCATTTCAAGTGTGCTATTTGCATTTGGAATCTGTTGCTGTCAACTCTCAAGATGAGATCCAAAGAGCTGTCACTATCAGTGAAGCAAGCCATCATTAGGCTGAAAAAACAAAACAAACCTATCAGAGAGATAGCAAAAACATTAGGCATAGCCAAAACAACTGTTTGGAACATTCTTAAAAAGAAGGAACGCACCGGTGGGCTCAGCAACACCAAAAGACCCAGAAGACCATGGAAAACAACTGTGGTGGATGACCGAAGAATTCTTTCCCTGGTGAAGAAAACACCCTTCACAACAGTTGGCCAGATCAAGAACACTCTCCAGGAGGTAGGTGTATGTGTGTCAAAGTCAATAATCAAGAGAAGACTTCACCAGAGTGAATACAGAAGGTTCACCACAAGATGTAAACCATTGGTGAGCCTCAAAAACAGGAAGGCCAGATTAGAGTTTGCCAAACAACATCTAAAAAAGCCTTCAAAGTTCTGGAACAACATCCTATGGACAGATGAAACCAAGATCAACTTGTACCAGAGTGATGGAAGAGAAGAGTATGGAGAAGGAAAGGAACTTCTCATGATCCTAAGCATACCACCTCATCAGTGAAGCATGGTGGTGGTAGTGTCATGGCGTAAGCATGTATGGCTGCCAATGGAACTGCTTCTCTTGTATTTATTGATGATGTGACTGCTGACAAAAGCAGCAGGAATGAATTCTGAAGTGTTTCGGGCAATATTATCTGCTCATATTCAGCCAAATGCTTCAGAACTCATTGGACGCCGCTTCACAGTGCAGATGGACAATGACCCAAAGCATACTGCAAAAGCAACCAAAGAGTTTTTTAAGGGAAAGAAGTGGAATGTTATGCAATGGCCAAGTCAATCACCTGACCTGAATCCGATTGAGCATGCATTTCACTTGCTGAAGACAAAACTGAAGGGAAAATGCCCCAAGAACAAGCAGGAACTGAAGACCGTTACAGTAGAGGCCTGGCAGAGCATCACCTGGGATGAAACCCAGCGTCTGGTGATGTCTATGCGTTCCAGACTTCAGGCTGTAATTGACTGCAAAGGATTTGCAACCAAGTATTAAAAAGTGAAAGTTTGATTTATGATTATTATTCTGTCCCATTACTTTTGATTCCTTAATAAGTGGGAGGCACATATGCAAACTGTTGCAATTCCTACACCGTTCACCTGATTTGGATGTAAATACCCTCAAATTAAAGCTGACAGTCTGCAGTTAAAGCTCATCTTGTTCGTTTCATTTCAAATCCATTGTGGTTGGTGTATAGAGCCAAAAATAATTAGAATTGTGTTGATGTCCCAATATTTATGGACCTGACTGTACCACAACCTACACATCCTGAACAGACTTATGACTCCCTATTGACCACATCTCCACCATTTTGTATAGCCTTATGACCCCCCCCCCCCCCCCCCAAATATCTTGTATAGAAGTGTGGCCTCTTACATACCACATCCACAATGGACTTATTATGCCCCTCTGTATAGTACGGCCCCCATTCTGCAGAGATTAGTAGGTCCATATATATGCTATGCCATGGATGGAAGGAATTTGAAGGTGCTCTGTTTAGCCCCATTAATGAGGGTGATCCCTAGAATTGACCATGCTGATGTGACACATCACATGGACTGACATGAGGACAATCTGGGGGTGTTGTGTATTTTCAATGACTGGCAAAGTTTTCTGTCATAATGGTGAAGATGAAGGCTCTGATGTGACAGAGAGGACGGCTGGGTCTCCTTTGTGCTCCCCAGCAGTCAATGTGGTGCGGTTGTGACAACCCATGCTAGGAGTAAACCGGGGGGAGGGGGGTTGCTCACCTGAGGGGTTTCAGCCGGTTCTTCTTTTTGTTGTCCACCACGTCGGGTACACAGTCTGCTCCATCCAGTCGATGTGTGCAGCCCACAGCTCCAGCTGGTGGAGAACCTGGAGACAAGCCAGGTCTCCTTCTTGCCAGGCTGGTGACAAATACACTTCTGGTCGGCCTTGCACTCGCACAGTTGCTCCAGGTGGATGCTGCAGACTGGGTGTCAGCCGAAGTGTGTGCTACCAGTCTTCTGGATGTGCAGGAGTGCTTCAGGTCATCCCCATTAATGTTAAAGTCCTTCTTCCTTAGCAGCTCCTTGGCGCTGCCAGACTCTCATTCACTTCCCATCACGGATGCAAACATCCTGGTGTGAGCTCAGTGTTGGAATGTTTGGACATGCTGCCCTGCCAATGGCCAGTCCAGGCCTGTTCTGTGGGATCTGTGATTGTGCTGTGCATGGCTTTTGTACTTTTGTCAGCAGCACCCCACCTGGTGCCAACAGTGAATGGGCTGGCCAAAGCCCAGGCGCCAGAACGCAATTTCTAGTCACCGTGGTGACCTGGCGCCTGGGATTTGTCGAACCCTGGTAGTGTATTATGGCGTACTGCTTTTTTCACTACCTATTTTCAGCTTCCTATGCCGTGTCCGTTCACATGTTAAGATGACTGTTATTTTGCTTGGTACACAAGACATAGACTGGTTTCTCATCCCACAGAATTTTTGAACAGTTATGTGCAGCGAGCCCTTGAAGTGTATTTTTCTTAACATGTAAAACCCAATAAACTTTTTGAAATAAAAAATGGCTGAAAGTATAATCAGGCTATAGGGAGTGGACAGAAAGTAACAAAGAGCATTCCAATGAAACCATTTGAAACACAATAGATCCTTCTTGAGACCAAAGGTATCTTCATGTCTCTACTTCATCACAATTCTTAAGTGTTTTATTCCTATTATAAGATAGTGGGCAGGGCTATGCAAATCATCCTTTTATGCCCCTGACCCAAATGTGCATCCAGTACTGCTGGTTTGTAGCATGTATACAGCCTGATGTTATAATGCCATTTATTGCAAATGGCATACAGCTGTTTCAGGCTTGTTGGCCATCACCAGTGCAGTTCATGAAAACAATGGCTTCCATTGACTAGGGATTGCAAAGTAGAATGAAACAGCTTTTCGGTTCCCTTTTGGCACCATAACCTACCTATTTAACTAGTGTGAAGCTTAGTAGACCTTTTCTTAAAACAAATTGTACCTGCCACTCAAGGAAGGTCTCTGCATACAAATATGTAGATACCTATGTGTCTGGAGCTTGTTTATAAGAGTAAGTAACAAACCTTTTGTATGTTTTCCCCACAGTGGTTGAAGCAATGAAGGAAGCTCAGGAAAAGCTCACAGGAAAATTTACCAAGAAACATGTTGAAGATGAGTTATAACCTCTGTATTTCATGCATAGAGCAGTTCTCCTGCTTACCCCAAATTTTGTACGCCCCAGGGGATGTAACCTTTATTCACATTATTGGACCTGCAGTGCTGGTGCCCCCGTCTGTCCAGTCACTGAGAATGGATTGGGACACCTGTTGTGGACAGCCCCATCACCATTCACCCAGTGTTACTTTACTCTGTATTTGCAGAACACTGTCAAAATGTACTTTTTTTTTTTGCCCCAAGTACAGTAAGTTAGTTTTGGTACAGATAAATTTAGATAGGTGTGCAATTTTAAAAATGGTTCAAAGATGCACCAACTACCAATTAGAAATCTGTTTTCTGCAAATAAACAAGAGTGGGGAAGGGCAAATTTAAATATGATTTGTGATATTTTTTTTTTTCTTTAGTAGTTACAGCACACCTATTCTTTGCACTGTTGGCCAAAAAGCCTACATTAATACTTTTTTTTTTTTTTTTTTTTTTTTTTTTTTTTTTTTCCCCCATGCCACCTCTATACTGTGGTTTGAGACATATACTGTATATAATTTTTTTTTTTTT